CTAACAAATTTACATATATCACATAATTTTGTCATGTCGACAGCATTGCTGATATATTGAGTTTTATTGATATTAGTGTTGATTTTAACAACAAAGAGAAAATCAAAGGTGCATTACACGATGGTCTCGGCGCAGTCACATCGTCGGCAGGATTTATAATGACTTAATCTTATCCCTGGGAGATTTCTGTTTGTCTGGAGCTTATGTTTGGATCTGCCATGATTATGGCGAGACTTCTATTCCCCAGGGAACAGACTGGAGCCAATCTGCATGCATTATTTATGACCCAGATTTAGCATTGTTATTTTCACCCTCTCACTTTTTAGCGTGGCTTAATTCATTGAAACATGCATCCAATTTTGTTAGCTAGTGTTGGTAGACACTTTAATCCAGCTGTAGTGAAATTTACATATTACGGTGCTGGCCATTAAGTGACTGTTATGAGACTCTCCATTTGGAACTTGCGGAAGGAATGTCCTTTAGGCCTGTCCTATTAACACGTGCCGATATTTATCGTGAAAAATGTTACAAATTGCTGGCAGGGCACAGATGGCCAGACTGTGGATTTTTCTTCCGCACATAATTCTCCCAACCTGCGCACGGGAAATAAAATTACCAACATGATTAGGGCGCTGTTTTTTCCGATGATTGGATTTTTGATCCGGCCCCACCCTCCACTTTCCCATATTAAACAAGAACGTCACTGAATTGGAGTACGTACACAAGGAACTCTAGCAACTGGATACTATTAGATTTTGGATTTTTGGAAACAATTCAAGCAGCATCCACTACTTTTTGTTAGTGACTAACAGAATCTGCAGTTGCACAGATTTTTATCCCCGAATTATTAATCGATACGTATATAAAAGTGAAGACGATTCATAGGTAACAACAGTAAGAGAAGTTCACGCTAATGAACTCCTGTTGTTTAAGTATGTACTTCACTCTGACATCCCTGCATGTTGATGGCGTATTGCTCTAACACAGGACGACAACAGCTCTTTACATGCTGCTCACAGCAGACAGTGTCTTTTCTATTCCAGACAGGTGCTCCAAGCTGTCTCACATTCCCAGGTAGCATAGGTCTAATCTTAGTAAGCAGTCACGGCTTTGGGAAAGGACAGATGAAAGCTTTCACAGTCACCGGTACAACCAGGGCAAGATCTCGGCAGCGCCGACACTGGACTCCCAGGGAATTGAAAAGTAGCTTGAAAGGAGGACTTTACGGTACATGCTCAAGCACGTTCTTGATGAATCGACTGTTTCCAAAAGATTAAAGCTCAGGCTGTAATCCAGGTTAACAGTTCAGGGCTGAAAGGAGCCTAAACCCAGGATGAATGCTACACAACAGCTGAGCGCCCGACAAGCTCAAAGGGGCGGTAAAAGTCGAACAATGCAAATTGTTGTCCGGACTTTAGGTGGGCGGCCATTTGGGTAACTTTAAAATCCCCTTTGGAGGGGGTAAAGATTTTGAGATTACCCCTGTTAGAGATACATTAGGGCCAAGCCAGCATGCTTCACTTATCACGGCAAGGCCAACGCAAGGTCAAGACACACACCTCGCCACTTAAGTGTTCTGGTCACCGGCCATCAGACAATGATGAAAGGGCAGAGTGCCAAATGGTTTGATTGCAGTTACAGCCAATTTCCAGTCTGATTCCCCAGGTGACATGCACTTACATTTGTACACATTTCATTGTGCTACATAGGCCAAAAGTAAAACTTAGTGAACAGTTCTCCATGAAACTTTGTAGGTGCCATATTAGTTATTTCTCTAGTAATCGTAATGGGTGTACGGAAAGTGCGTAATGGAGCGAAATGGGATGAAATGTAATGAAATATGAAGCAAATGTAATTGAAATAGATCCAATAATTACAAAATAATTACAATTTAGCAAGATCCTCTTGCAATTATAAGGTACATTGTGCTATGCTAAATTGTGCTATGCTAAACCTTCTACATCAAATTCATTTGCTTACTTTGATGTGAACAGCCAAGAAGGAAATAAGGTGTCAAGCTTAAAACACATTGATTGTAACTACTTAATCTAAGGCAAAACTTGTGGATTCCACTTCTAGTACTTCTGATTTTTACTACAGACAGGTGCCGCTTGCCCGAGAGTGAGGTAGCCACGTTCCTGGCACAGATATATACAACTAGCAGGCTGCTGAAATACCACAGTGCACCAGGAGGCCAGCGCCAAAATGTCAACAGCTTTTACAAAAGGTTTAGCGAATCCATCAGAGTTAGGCCCGGTGAGGCAGCTTCATAGGGGAAGTGGCGAGGTCTCTGTTGTACCTCCTTCTTTATTACAAAAGCTATAAAAGTTCTGCTGCAATGTTACGACTTTACAATCACTCCTGGCTACTTACAATTCAAGGCCAGACAAAATCCAATAGTTTGTTCTGCATTAAAGCTACGAAGTTAGGTCTTGAAATTTTTCAAAGATCCTCAAAAGTGTCATAGAAATGTTTTGCTTATTGAGTCTTGTCTTCCACAGGGCAAGGGTACAATGAAACATTTTTAATTTTCCAATTTTTTATCATAAAAGCAAGACACATTTCAACTTACTGAATCAGCTCAGGCGGATTCACTGTCTTAATTCACACATTTATTAGACTTGACCTCTTGAAAAAGGGACAAAAACGACACAAAGTATTTGGTGAAGATTTGTTTTTGAGGTTTGTGAACCTTGGAGATATCTTCACCCCACGTGGAGTTCTCTATACAATATTTATTTCTACCTGGAGGGCAGGGCTGGGAATAATGACTGAAAAGGTCGACTTCAATAAAAACTGTTTAATATATGTCAACCTACCTAAACTCATCAGACGCCCCCCACCCACATCTGTGTGTGTTTCACCTGCCCTCTGGTCCTTTATTTTGCATTAAACTGCCCTGATATACCGTAGTTCACGGAAGCCTTGTGACAACTGCCTCACAACTGAGTACATGGTTACAGGGCATTATTACATGGTTCATACCAGCTTTGTGTACTAATAACAGTGATGATGAAGTAACTGTCAGTGATTAGTTTGATGCCCCTTATACGGACATGTTTTCTTTTTACTGGGCTGATCTGAACGGCAATGTTCAGAGTATCATAGAACAACATTTGTTTAGTTAAATTTTTATGTATCATTCTAATATTTGTACTGTTTAGATATTTGGTTTTCCAGACCTTATATTTCTTTTGATTGTCTTTTGTTACATGTACATTGTACATGTTTATTTCCTAAGGAGCCGACCTTGTAGAGGTTACCAGGTTGTTTCTGTTGCTCCTTATAGATTTCTTGTTTTAAAAACTGTGAAGACCAATAAATAAATAAACAACAACGGCAGTTGAAAGCTTCACCGTCTCAAAACAGGGCAGATTCCAACTGATAGCCACACCTGGTCTTTTCTCCAGCCTTGACTCAGAATGTGTTGTCTGACATGTTTCTCAAGAAAGATTTAATTACCTGGCAGTGTCTGGACAGTAATGCAATTTTCCCAATTTCTGTACAGGGGTCGTGACTGGTTTTAACAAGACTTCCTTCATTTCTGATAAATTTGGCTGACGTTGCGTTCTGCAGCTAAGTGTGGGAAAGCCACCCTGTCTACGCACGACCCCGGGCACATTTCTCTATGTAGTTGAACCCTACTTGATGAAACAAAATAGCAGGGGTTCGGGTTGGCTGGGTCTGTTGTGAAACGCCATAGGCTGCGGAGACACACATGGACTCTGCTGTGGAATTCTTGACACAGAAAACAGCCCGGTTCCCCTGAAGGCAGGAGCATATCAGCCAGACACAACACCAGCTAGCATGGCCCATTTACATTTGAATGTACACTTCCTCACAGACTTTCCCTCAGAAATACTGTATGTCCACAATCCACAAAATTGCACTCCAAATTTGCCATACATGTTACAGTTGTATATTATATCATGCAATGGCTACTTCAGTCAAATGGAGTTAAAAAGAGGTACAAGGAAAGAAAAATTGTTCCCCGTTATAATTTTCTGGGGGCATTTCCTTGACTTCTTCTATGACGAAGCACAAGACTTGGTGTTGCACATATATTGTATACAAATGGCTATTCCACGTCGTTACACTACAATGTATTGTTTTGAAAATGAGGTAGAGGAACAGAAAATATTAATTTTCCAAATAAGTAAAATCTTTCACACATTTCCTAGAGATTTGCGATGAAGTACAAAATTTGAACCATTGACTACCAAATGTCCCACAGCATAGACTGTTGTTTTTTTTTTGCTTAGTCTGTCCCAGAAAACGGGGCCGTGTTTACTTTCCATAGCTCTGGTGAAAAGTAGAGGGCGTGGACAGGAAATACGATCAACTCTGCTTTCACATTCTGCTACTTTCGGCATTTTTGTCTGGCAGACTGCAGGACAGACTGACTCTGTTCTAAATGAGAAGGAAAGTTGTTCAGTTCCCTAAGAGTAAGAGTTAAACAATTCATCGATTGATTTAAAGACAGGGTTCTCTTTTGTGTTGGTTCTGAAAGGAGAGTGCAGGAAGTGCCTCCTTCCCACTGTGGCCTTTTGTGTCCACCTTGCATATGACATTGTTCCATCAGCCATACGTTTTGCTTTCACAACACCAAAGAGGAAGACGGAATAAAGCTAAAGGTAATTTACTTACCTGGTGTGAGTGTAGAAATCCGCTCACAAATATATTTTCCAGAACATTTAATGTATAACATTGTCGTGTCACCAAGACTAGTGATTTTTAATTTTTTAATTAAGGAGTGGTGCAATTTTATGGAAAACTCGAAGGAAAAAGTGAAAATTACTTCGAACAGTTATTTGCAGTCAAGTAAGATTGTCAGTAATGTTAAGAAAAATCCGTGAGGGAGGAACAAAGACATTGTTATTGACATTGTCAACATCGTCTGTGATCTGTCCATTCAATAACAACCAAAACGTTGTGTTTTGTGCAAGAAAAACTACTTCGTCAGTTGTTTTTAAATTTAGTGAAGAAAAAAAAAGACTCACCATTGGTTGCAGTTGAGACCCCGGCAGGATAGGTTGAAATGGCACTTGCTGTAGGATCTGATTCTTTGCGTTTGCTTGGGCTATTAGGTTGTTGCGTCCGTTGATTTCTAGCTGGGATTTCAAGTGGGGTGGCGGGTGCAAGTACTTGCAGTTTTCTCTGGTACAACGTCCCTGCGGGGCAAGAGAGAGACGAATATTGATGAGTCATCATAACGTCAATGATAAAGAGGAATAAAACGTCTAGTCCATGTAATCCCTTCTACCAAGGCCTACCATTTAGTCCTGATTTAATACTGTTTAAGAGCAGGCTCTGTGCACGCAAGTGTGGGGGTCTTTCCATGAAATCCATTAGGCTAAAAGCACAGTAGCCAACCTGGTCGAATGCCACGTAAGGGTGGTATGCCAAGTACGGGTGCTTTTTCATTCTAGAACTCTGTATGCATGTCCCAGCCCACCCGCTCCGGAGATGGGGAGAGCGTCCGCAAATCTGGGCTAAGGGCAAGGATCGCTCCCTTCAAAGCTGGTTAGATCTTCCGGACAATTGAGGAACGGCAATTTAGGTGAAGATCTCTACCACCAAAAATCACGGCTGGCTCACAGATAATTGTGGGCCGGGGTTATGGGGGTGGAATAATGTGACGGGCTGCCTACCCCTGCAGAATTGGCAATGTGGACTGACAAACAATGACGAGGGGAGGGTTGGCTTTGAGAGGGGGAAGGAAGTGTCAATCATGTCATCAGAGGCCCCAAGCCAGCGACTTCCCCAGGCCAGCCGGCTGTGGCCTTACCACGTAAACATCCCCTTTCACTGAGAGAAACGCCCTGAGCCCAAATAAGGACTGAAATGAATCATCGCAGCGCCATAACAGCCAGGTCCTCTGACCTTCCCCACCCTCACCTTCAGTTAGAACCGCCCTGAACTAGTTGGAGCCACTGGGCTGAATATCACTGTCAGTTGGAGGGACAATGCTTTATATCAACTAATGGCATCATTCCAGCAGCAAATGATCTAAGAGGCAGGAACAAAAGGGTTTGGCCAGTAGCATTGAGTTAGTCATACCCGTTTGGCTGCAAACAAAATGGTGGGCTGGGGCTATCTACCTTGCCCTCCAGGCAGATTTAGCTGCGGGAACAAATCGTCTATTGATTCAAGTTTACCCAGGTGCATTTTTCGACACAGGTAGACACCTGACGTCGTAACTCACGGTGCCTAATCTAGAAGGATATCATAAAGGTTCCTCGATAACCTTTACCATACATGTCATCTAGTCATCAAGGTCACTCCCTTCTGAGGGATTATATCAACCTCGACCAGCCTCGGGCGACATCCCAGCTACATGTACGCTGTCGTCAGTAGAATTGTATGCACAACGACGGCTTTTACCTTCACCATTTCCCGCTAGAACAATCTTTTCAGAAGTACCAACTTAAGAAGTGAAGGAAGTCGTAAACAATGGCGGCAGGGGTGAGGTTTCACGGCATGAGGCACGCACTCAGATATTCCGCGGGAAAGGTTAGCTGTCAGTGCCATTCCCTTCCGCTCGAAGTGCCCGCCGCGGTTTATTAACGCACTGCCGGACGTCAGACACTCCTGCTGGTGCTCTCAAGACAACTCCGACTTTTGTACGATGAATGTTTTATACCTGCCCTTGACATTACATACCTTTCCTTGCATTAAAACTGCCAGGGTACCCTTCTTGCTATTGCTAGAAGGCAATAATAGGAGAGGGCTGTAGGACATAGCAAAATGGCTAACTGACTGGATAGTACTGTCATTAGGTACATATGCATGTGCCGTCCTACCTCCCCATTCAACTTTTGAGTGTGATATGATACAAAAAAATGCACATATAGTCAGTCTAGAACAGACTAGGACATGGTCATACTAGTAAGTAAAAGGTACATGTACTGCACAATCATAAGTAGTCTCTTTTAACATTTGAGAGTTTGTTTTATAAAAAAAAAATAGTTGCAATGGAAACCCCAGCCTTGGCTAGAAAATTTATCTTCAAAGAACTGCGAGTTGCTACCAACTTGTTGTTCTTTGAAGATGACTTTCATAATGAAGTGTACCTTTCAAGCCCCAATCAATGCAATTAACAAAAGATTAATATGATTACGGGTTCTTATCCGTGAAAACCAGGATACAAAGTCACCAAATCACATTTTGACAACAACATTCAAGGACGAGATCATTAATTCCCAACAGTACAAATAATCTGTGTTGATGATATAGATACATGTACACGTCTACAATGTCTGTACATCAAGGGCGCACCATATCTTACCTATCATCTCTGATGAAAATTAGCAATATCTAAATTCACAGAACAATCTAAGCTGGGCAATTTTGACAGGGATAAATGCAAGCACCAATCCGACCTATTTTGTCACCACCACACACCAGCATTGTCAACAGTCATGACAAATCACCAGAATAACAGATAGTCCCTTTTGTGGTAAACCTGAGGCAGAGAAAATTGTTGCTCCCACAACATATATACAGACCACCTGCAGTGGACCGTATATCCACAAACGGCCCACAAACAGCCCACACCTACCTGGTCTATCTCCTGGTAGTACATGGTGATGTGTCTCCTACTTCAGTTCACTGCTGGCTGGAAATTTGATGACCAAACTTTACAACATCTAATCTGGGTTTGAGCTAAGCTAGCGAGCGGAGCGCTCCCGGCAGCGCACAATAGTAGGTGTTGTGCTAAGGACCTCACACCGCCCAACTGAACAGGAGCGGACGGGGCAGAACTAAATGACCCCAGGCTGATCCGCTGGTGGAAAGGCAGGGACATCAACCAGACAAAAGGATCAAAGACCCAGCATATATTTGCATCTATTAGAGGTGGCTGAAGTCTGGGGTTTGCTCAGGTCAGAGACTAACAAATGTGAAGAGTGAGTCACAAACAATTTATGGCCACAAGCACTCCAGAGCGGTCCATGAACACATCATTTACTACAAAAGGCAGTGGTTTAGGTGCAGTTTGTTTCCTTATCTCTCTCATTTAAGTTTTCTCTCTAATTTGTCAACCTTTTTGTTTCAATTTCATTTATGATAGTGCAATATGAACAATCTGGATATGTCTTTCCCAACACTGTCACTGGCAGTTATATCTTTCATATCTTTCCATTCCTAGTTCCGAGTCTCTTTCCTACAAATTGGTTCCCATGACAAATTTACAAGTTAGATCCTATCTCTTTAATTGCCAGTGCTAGTTATTTGGTGTTAAGTTACTATCTGTTGTTGGTTGAAGACAATTTTAAGGTGGCTTGCATGTGCCTTAGAGGGATTATGTCCAGTCAGTGCACAAGAAAACTTTCTCCACCCAATTATTTGCCTCACAAATCAGCATCAGAATAGGTGGCTATAATTGACACAAATTTTATCTGTACAGATACCCAACATTGTACAAGTATGTTTGTAACAAATGATTTTAGCACTTGCCCAAAGCTCTTCTTCTAAGTTCTAGAATTCAGCTATTAGTCTCACTTCTTTGTATTCTACCAGTCTTTCTAAACTGAGTTAATTGGTTTCATTATGCTTTTGCAGATTTTCAGAAAATCGGAGAAACAACAAATCAAATTGGTGTGGCCTTACGCAGAGCTGGCCTTGGAAGGCAACACTGTCCACAATACTGGAACAGGTTTCTCTGAAACCCCCATTTGGAACCCTGCCCAGAAAGGAAGCCAGGCCAGGTCCAGAAATGAGTTAGATTATGGTTTGTCCCATTTAGGTCAGACCTAGATTTATTCCACATCCTGGATTCTACACATTCCAGTTAGAGTATCATAGTATTTTATTTCTAGGTCATAATATTTCTCACAGAGTACTTCGGCCCAGTTGGAATGTCAATATGCAAAAGCACACACAACAAAATGTATCTAAACAAATACCTCTATGAAGAAGGAATATTAATTATATAACAATACATTAAATTATTGCCTTAACAAAAATGTGTGACATTATACATATGCTGGCGTGACAACAGAATTTTGTGCATTTGTCAGAAAAAAATGTCTTCATATCAGACGCCTGAAAAATCACATAACCCAAATGTAAATTCATTTGTCGGGGCATGCCATTTTTGACCCCTTTATAATAGGATGGCAGCAATATATTAAGACTAGAATAATCAATCAAGCTGGCCAGTTTTGGCCACTGTAACCTAGTAACCTACTTAGATCAGCACAATGTCTGTCCAAACAAATGTTAGGAAAATTCTTCCAAGGAATCTTCTTCTGGCAATTTGTTAAACTGTCAAATATAATGATAAGGAAATGTTACAATGGTATGTTTCCCAATATCAAATATCAAGGACTAGATGTCAAAAATGACCATAAGACATCTAAATGGAATACACCACTTTTGTTCAGATTGTGTATTGACAGATGCATTCAGATTTTCTGTCCTACAAAAGAGGGATCTAACATATTTGTCCATAGCAATAAAAGTATACATACATACATGAAATAATAGTTATGTGCTTCTGTGAGTGTGACTATGTGGTCAATGATAATGTTCCCTTTTCAATCTTAACAGCAATATCATTGATAAACCAATAAAATGTTCATGCTAAGAACCTTTCTTGGACAAAGATGTCATTATCTTGTTTAATGAGCATGATTTAAAAAACAATGTATTCAACAGCTGGTGTAGTCTGATGTTGTTTGGCCTGCTTTTTGTTGAGAAATTGAATGGACCAAGGACATTTTATCATCAATTTATGAAGTCCTTGAATGGACCAAGGAAGGATGTAAGAGTCTGTGAATAGGACAATATTGACAGGTCTTTTGAACAATCAAATTGTGTACAACAAGCTGTTACTAGAAGGAAAACTAACAAAGACAACCCAGTCATACAATCGATTATTGAGGCTTTGATCTGTGCATTTTGACACTTGCTATCGGTTAGTTGCACACGTTAACATAACATTATATAAATATATGTCACAAACTTGGACGTGATATCTTGCCTCTAGACTTCAACCTTCAAGTGTGCTTGTCTAGTGTGGTATTTGAAAAATTGTTACTAAATACTCTTGAGGAAAATACTAGTAATGGACTACCCTCTACAGCTTTCATAACTCTACCATCAGTTATGATAGGCCACTTCAAGCAGAGATAACAGACATGTCAAAACAACCTGCCCAAATATTTGC